TGAAGACAGTGACACGTCTGACGTACCAGTGGCGCTCATCGACACCGGTTGCACAAGATGCATGCACGGCAAACGCTGGCGGGAGCTGTTCGAGAAGAGGTGCCTGCATCCCCGTGGCCTCGAGATCAAGATGACGGACCGCGTGAGGAGCTTCTCCTCGGCCTTCGGCAAGAAGCAGGAGGGGCGCGTGGTCGAGATCCCGGTCGCCCTTGGCGGCCGCCGCGGGGTGATTTTCAGCACGGAGATGGACGACTGCGACACCCCGCTCCTGGTCAGCCTGGCGTCGCAGGAGGCGCTGGGTGCCGTGCTCCACCTGAGGGAGATGCGGATGGAGCTGCAGACGCTCGCCGTGGACGTGCAGCTGATCAAGGTGGGCGGTCACTTGGCAGTGCGACTTGACGACTGGGGAGACGATGATGGTCACCGATCGGCAGCAGCTTCGAGTTCGAGATCAGCGACGGCGATCTCGACGAATAAGGACTCGGAGTTCTTCTGCGCGCAGTCACGGAAGGAGTCGGCCTTCGAGGAGTCCGCGATCCGAGTCGAGGAGGAGGTTGGCCACGCCTTCCCGTCGAAGGATCGCGGTGTGCTGGCCACCGACGCGACGGGGATCCTCTCCAAGACGACTCGGAAGAAGCTCGAGTCCGCCTGGCGTGGGCTTCGTGGAGAGGATCGTCGACTGCGGGAAGAGCTGCCTCGACCGAGGTTCGAGGCGGAGCGTTTCGTGACTGCCGACTTCCAGACCACGGTGGTGTTCGAGCCGTTCGGTGGGGAGCACATCCTGACGCGCTACGGTGCGAAGGAGTACGGATGGATGCAGTCTCAGCCGTTGGATGTGGACCACTCTCCCGACTACGATTTGCTCAAAGGCCCTGGACGGGCCTTACTCTACCGAATCCTCGACCTGCACTGGCCTTACATCACCGTGCTGGCTTTTCCCTGTCATCCGTGGTCCTTGATGACCAACATGAACAAGCGCATAGACTGGGATGAGGTCCGCAGGAGTGCTCGTCGTTATCTTTTGCTCGTTCGACGGGTATCTCGATGTGTGCATGCAAGAGGACGGTATTTCTTGATAGAGCAGCCTTTGACAGCACTTTCTTGGGAGTATGACGGCATCCTGATACGTTTGTGGGATTTGGAAGGTGTTGTTTTTGTGCGTGGAGATCAATGTGCTTACGGAGCCTGAGACAGGGACACGGGCAAGCCGATCAAGAAGCCGACAGGGTGGCTCACGAACAGCGCAGCGGTGGCGAACCAGCTGAGCAAGCGCTGTGCCTGTCCGCCCCGCGCTCACCAGCAGCTGCTCGGGAGGAACTCGGGTGGCTATCGGGCGCCGCAGGCGGCGGCCTACCCCGTGGGCCTCGCGAAGGCCTTCTGTCGCGGCGTGCTCCAGCAGATGCAGATCGACTACCGCAGCTCGCTGGTCATGGATGCGGCCTTCCCTGTGGAGGATGCTTTCCCGCACGAGCGTCCGCGATCGCGGACCCCGCCGCGAGGAGAGCCTGTGCCAGAGGAGGCACACCAGGAGGGCCCGCCTCTCGGAGAGGACGCGCCGCCTGCCGAGGCGGCAGCGGAGGCCCCGGAGGCACCGGCCGAGGTGCCCGCGAGGCCCAGGCGCGGCCGGGCGCCTGCTCGACGCGAGCGCGGAGTGCCTCCTGGCGGACGTCCGCTGGGCTTCCGCCGGGGACGACGTACGCAGTACGGCGAGTTCGAGCTGCTGACGGTGGAGCTGTGCGCCGAGCTGGACACGTTCCGGAGTTGGCATGGAAGACTACTGGAGAAGATGGGCGAGGATATCGAGACGATCATCTGGGGCTCGGACCTCTTCCTGGAGGAGCTGGGAGGAGTCATCAGCGAGCCGCTGAAGATGGTGAAGGCTAGACGCGGGGGTCAGCGGCTCCAGACGGCGCAGCCACAGCTGCACGCCGCGGACGCCCCGCTCAGGATGGTCACTACGCTCAAGGGCAACCAGCTCTTCAGGCTGGACTTCGAGGACTGGTCGCAACAGTCACTGCAAGCACGACGGCGCTGGTTGCCACGACACTTACTCGAGAACGACGTGGTGGTCTTCTACTTCGCGGGCTACGAGCGGGGCGACCTGCCCGAGGGGCCGGCTGCAGCACAGCAGCGGGACGCCTCACGGGAGAGGAAGCGACGTTGGGAGCTGTTGCCGAGGGCCGTCAAGAGGGCGATCGAGCGGGTGCACGTGAACCTCGGGCACCCCTCACGGCCGGCGCTGCTCAGGGCGCTGCGCCTGGGCAAGGCGACGGCGGTGGCGCTGAGGGCAGCAAGGTTGTTTGTTTGCGAGAGCTGCCGGCGAGTGCAGCGACCCAGCATCCCACGTCCGAGTCAGCTTCCGAGGGTCGACGAGTTTAACGTGCTGCTCGCGATGGACTGCTTCGAGAACGTCGACAGCGCCGGCAACAACTGGGTGTTCCTTGGCATCATGTGTATGGGGACGAACTTCCACGTGGTTTGCCTGCTGGAGGACACTCACAAGAACCCCAAGGCCTCGGAGGTCAGGAAGTTCTACAAGCTCTGCTGGGTCTCCTGGGCTGGCCAGCCGGAGGAGGCGATCATGGTGGACCGCGCGCGGTCCTTCCTGGGCGAGTTCGCGGACTACCTGGAGCAGGAGGGCGTGCGCCTGGACTCGGCCGCTCTGGCTTCGCCGTGGCACATCGGCAAGATGGAGCGCCACGACGGCATCTGGAACTCGATGCTCACGAGGGTGGTGCACGACAAGCAGGTGGCGGGCCTTGAGGAGATGAGGACGGCAGTGACGGAGTGCAACAGGGCCAAGAACACGCTGGCCCGGCGGGCTGGTTTCAGCCCCTACCTCTGGGTCCTTGGCCGGGATGTCCGACTCCCGGCGAGCCTCGCAGATGACGCCGAGGTGGAGCGTGTAGGCGAGCAGGTGGCAGCTGCTACGCCGGGCTCACGCTTTGCCCGCAAGGTGGAGATCAGGACCCAGTGCCGGATGGCTTTCATCCAGACCGACACGGAGGATCGACTTCGACGAGCGGAGCTTCGACAGATACGACCTACGAGAGGGCCGTTCGTTGTTGGCCAGTGGGTACTTTTCTACGACCAAGCGCAGCCAGTCAAACATCGACCAGAGCATCCAGACAACTGGCGAGGGCTGGCGCGCGTGATCGGACATGAGGGACGGCATGGAGTGTGGCTTGCTTTCCGTGGCCTCACCGTGCTCGCGAGCCCGGAGCACCTGGCTGCAGCGACCGGCCACGAGATCCACGCCTGGAGATCGATCGCACAGGAGCAGAAGTTGGTGCACGACGCGCCCGTCAGTGGCGGCAGCGGCTTCGTGGACTTGCGAGGTCGGCCCAAGCCCCCCGCCGCAGCGGGGCAGGAGCCCGCTGAGCAGGGCGACGAGAGCGGCATGGACGTCGGGCCGCAGGCGGGGGCGCCGGAGGAGCCGCGGCCCGCCCCGGCTCCGCCTGAGCCGGAGGCGCCTCAGGCCCCGCCTGCGGCGGAGGCTCCTCGCGCGGCTCCAGCCGCGCCCGAGCCGCCTGCGGCGCCAGCCCCAGCGGTGGGGGCTGAGAACGTGCCCGTGCCGCCCGACCTGGACTTCGACGCGATGGAGTTCGACGCAGCGATGCAGGACATCATGAGAGATGACGGCGACGATGACTGGCACCCTGACTCCCACGGGGTGCAGACGGAGCCCGAGCCGGGGGCCTCTCGGCATCGGCGTCCTGGGAGTCTCCTGGAGGAAGAGGAGACTGAGGAGCGCCGCGAGCGGGAGGCCAAGCGACGGCGCCTGCTGGACGACGTCCCTGTCTCGATCCGACAGGGGACTGCAGGATCCAGCCTCTCTGCGCCTGTCGACTCGGCGAAGTTCGTGCTGGACAATGACCTGGAGGAGTTCATGGAGGCCGGCTTTGAGACTTACCAGCAGGGTGAGGCCTTCTTTGTCCAGGAGGGCATTGGCAAGGAGGAGTTCATCTTCGGGCTGATGCGGAATGATTTCGAGCACGCTTTTCTGACGAAGAAGCCTGGTAGGAAGGAGATCAAGCTCGGCAGCTTGCCTGAGGAGCAACGCCGGATGTTCATGGATCGAGGTGGCAGTCGTGATGCAGAGTGGCGATCCTGGCAGGACTTTGATGCGGCTGAGCCGATCCCGCCGGATGAGAGTGAGTCGATCCGCGCGGACAAGGCCAACATCATCATCCCGATGCGCTGGGTGGATACCGACAAGAACGACGGGAAGTATGATGAGGCCGGAGCCCCTCTGCCGCTGCTCGCGAAGAGCCGCCTGGTCGTGGTGGGCTTTCGCGACCGCTTGCTGGGTATGTTCAGGCGAGACGCTCCCACTGCCTCACGGCTGGCGGAGGCGCTGCTCCTGACGCTGGCGGCGGCCATGGGCATGACCCTCTCCCTGGGCGACGTCAAGAACGCCTACTTCAACGGGCAGAACCTGCAGCGCGAGGTCTACCTGGAGCAGCCTCGAGGAGGCCTGCCTGGCCTTGCCGCGGGCCAGTTGCTGAGGGCCCGCAGGGCCATCTACGGCTTTGCTGAGGCAGCAAGGCTATTCTGGTTGGCGCTGCGTGACGCTTTGCTGTCCGACGGCTGGCTTCAGTCGCGCCTTGAAGCCGGCGCTCTTCTACAGGCGCATGGGCGGGCAGCCGAAGGGCCTCGCGGTCTCGCACGTTGACGACGTGCTGGTGGCGAGGATGAAGGACATGCAGCTGTCGGACCTCTCGCCGAAGGTCCTGGGTACGTTCCAGTGGAAGTGGAGCGAGCTGCCCTTCACCTTCCGCGGCCGTGAGCTCTCCAGTGATCCGAGAGGTTTTCTGGTTAAGATGGTGAACTGCGCAACTTCCATCAAGCCGATCAAGATCCCAGCAGGACGAAGGAAGCAGTTGCAGGAGGACTTGAACGAGAACGAGGCGAAGGAGCTGCTGAGGGTATCTGGTGAGATCGGCTGGCTAGGTCGACAGTGCCGACTCGACCTGGCCTTCCTCTCAGGCGAGCTGCAGAGGGCCCGAGCGGCCCCGTGCGTGGCGGACCTGGTGAAGGCGAACCTGGCGGTGTCTGAGGCCAAGAAGGGCGCTGAGGTCGCGTTGGTCTACCCGGCCAACCTGAGGCTGTCCAGCGCCGTGATTGGCGCGGCCGTGGACGCAGGCCACGCGAACGGCCCAGAGCACGACGACATCGAGCGCTACAAGAGCTGTGGTGGCCACGTGGTGCTCCTCACGACCGACGGCATCCTGGCCGGACACCAAGCACCAGTGGCAGTGCTGGATTGGAAGAGTGGCATGACGCAGCGCGTGTGCCGCTCAACCTTGGCGGCCGAGGCCACTCACCTGGCCGATGCGGTGGAGGCCGTCGACTGGGCGGCAGTGCTGTTTAGAGAGGCTATGAATGTCTCAGTGGATTTGCTCAACTGGCAGGGGGAGGTGCAGCGGCTTCCTCGCTTTTGGGCAACAGACGCCAAGTCCGTCTACGACCACCTCACGAAGGAGGGCTCGGCTAAGAGCAAGGACAAGAGAATGGCGATCGAGGGTGCCTTGCTCAGAGAGGTACTACGCTGCGAGAACACCCACCTCAGGTGGATTGACGGCTCGCAGAACATTGCAGATGTGCTGACGAAGCTGGGAGTGGACAAGGTCTACCTCTACAAAGTACTGCGGGAGGCCAAGTGGAGCCTGGTGCAGGACCCGGCGGCAGCGGCGATCAAGATGAAGAAGAGTATGCAACGTGCCAGCCGCAAGACCGCCATCGACACGAGGAAGACGGAGAAGAGGCAGCAGGACAAACTCGTGAGAGCTAATGAGATGCGGGACATCGCAGATTGAGGTGCCAGGCGGTTTTCGGCGTCTCCTTTTGAGGGCGTGTGAAGATTTCCAGGCTCGCCTCAACCCGCCTATCCCTTTCCTCTTTTGCTCTCCCTCTGCCCCTCTCCCGTGCTCCCGCAACCACTGTGGGCCCAAGCCTGGGGCCCCAGGTTTTACTGCCTCTCGGGCGGCCCGCGCCCGAGATCCGTGGAGCCTGTGCTGGCGCGCTGGCTGGTGCAAAAGGGGCTGCGCTCACACTGATAGCAGCAGGGCAGCAGATCGGTGTTCAAAGATGGTGAGGTCTAATCTGAATCTGCGTTTGACGTCATTCCGCTCCCCCCCAACAGCAGCCGAAAGTGGCGGCACACTTGCAGTGCACAGCCCCCCCAAAGAGGGCGAGGCCTAGCCTGAATCTGGGTACGGCGACACTCCGCTGGACCCCCAACGAGCCTCGAACACGGCGACACCTTCGCAGCTCGCGGATCCCTGGGAACGGCGACGCCTCGCCCGACTCTGCGCATGGCGACCCTCCGCTGAACCCCGCCCCCCCTCCCAGCAGCCTTCGAGACCTGCGACAACTTCGCCATCCGCAGCCCCCCAAAAACGGCCACGTCTCATCAGAGTCCGCATGTGGCGTCACTCTGCTGGACCCCCCCCAGCAACCCTCGAACGTGGCGACAGCTTCGCGGTTCGCAGCCCCTGAGAGATGGCAGCGTCTCGTCTGAGGCTGCGTCTGACGTCACTCCGTTGGACTCCCCAGCAGCCATCGAAAGTTGCGTCAACTTCGCAGTTCGCAGCCCCCAGTGATGGCGAAGTTGAATCTGAACCTGCGCATGACGCCACTCCATTGACCCCTCCCCCGCGGCCATCGAAGTGGTGACAGCTTCGCAGTTCGCAGCCCCCCAGGGATGGCGACGTCTCGTCTGGGTCTGCGTGTCTGCATCTCTGCTAATCAGCAGCCCTCGGACGTGGCGACGGCTTCGCAGTTCGCAAGCCTCCCACGGATGGCGAGGTCGAGTCTGGGCCTGCGTACGACGTCACAGCACTGACCCCCCAGCAGCCGTCGAAGGTGGCGACAGCTTCGCAGTTCACGACCTCCCAACGATAGCGAGGTATAAACTAAGTCTACGTATGACGTCACTCCGCTGGACACCCCAGCAGCCCTCGAACGTTCCGACAAGTTTGCAGCTTGCAGCGCGGTCGAAACCGAGCCTGCATAGAGCATCACTCCGCTGGCCCCCAGCAGCCGTCGAAGGTGGCGATAGCTTCGCAGTTCGCAACCTCCCAGGGATGGCGAGTTCTAATCTGAGTCTGCGTGTGACGTCACTCCGCTGGGCCCCCCAGCAGCCCTCGAAAGTGGCGACAGCTTCGCAGTTCGCAGCCCCCCCAAGGATGGCGAGGTCGAATATGAACCTGCGTATGACGTCACTCCCATGGACCCACCAGCAGCCCTCGAACGTGGCGACAGTTTCGCAGCTCGCAGTCCCCCAGCAGTGATGGCGATGTCTCTTCTGGGTCGGTGTTTCTGCGCGTCTGCTCATCAGCAGTCCTCGAAAGTGGCGGCAGCTTCGCACTTCGCAGCCCTCCCAAGAATGGCGAGGTCTACCCTGAGTCTGCGTATGACGCCACTCTGCTGGACCCCCCAGCAGCTTTCGAAAGCGGCGACGGCGTCGCGAAGTCTCATCTGAGTCTGCAGTATAACGCCACCCACACGGACCCCGCAGCAGCCTTCGAAAGCGGGGCCAGCCTCGCGGTTCGCAGCCACCCCACGGATGGCGAGGTCGACTCTGAGTCTGCGTGTGACGTCACTCCGCTGGACCCCCCCCCGCGGCAGCCCTTGCAGGTGGCGGCCGTCTCGCACCCCAGAAGACGACGAGGTGACGCACGACGGAGAAGTACGAGGCAGGCTGGCAGGCAGGCAGGCATCAACCAGGCAAAGAACAACAAAAAAAGCGAGAGGCGTACGGGTCGCGACCGCAGTGCTCGATTCCGAAAGAAGGCCCAGCGCAGGAGGGCTGGAAATACACAACATCATCATCATCATCATCATCATCATCATCATCATCATCATCATCATCATCATCACCATCATCATCATCATCACCATCATCATCATCATCATCATCAGCAGCAGCAGCATCATCATCAGCACCATCAGTATTATCATCAAACGCATGATCAGCCTCACCGCCTGTAACAGAAACATCCTCTTCCTGACTCTCCCGCACCTCGCCCCTCCCCTTCCCCTCTTCCCATCTCTCTTGCACCTCCTCATCCTCGCTCATCCCTCCTCCTCCTCCTCCTCATGAAGGTAACTCCTCCCTGCGCAGCCCGAGACGTGTCGGTAGGGCGGGCCGGCCGTTTCGCCTGAGACTTCCTCGCCGCTAGGGAGCCTGAACCGAAGCAGCCTCAGCAGCCTCAGGAATGTGGGGTGGGCCGTCTTCAAAGTGCGGCCCTCGCCTCAGCATCGCGCGCACTCGCCTTCAGAGTCTGGAGATCTGCGGGTGTGGAGCGCGGGCCGTCTTCAAAGTGTGGCTCTCGGCACAGCACCGCGCACGTCCGTCTCCAGGGTGTGCCATGACCTTCACGGATGTGGGGCGGGCCGTCTTCAAAGTGCGGCCCTCGCCTCGGCATCGCGCGCACTCGCCTTCGGCCCTCGCCCCGGCGCCGCGCACACTCGCCCTGCAAGAGACGTTTGCGGGGGCTCCACGGAGGGCGGCCCCTTCTCCTAAGGGGCGGCTCTCTCGCCCTGGCGCCGCGCGCAGCATTCGTCCCCGAGCGTTTGCGAGGGCTCCACGGGAGGAGGGCGGGCCGTTTCTCCAAGGGGCGGCTCTCTCGCGCCCTGGCGCCGCGCACGCTCGCCCTTAGACGCTCGCGAGGAGCATCGCCGACGGAGGGCGGCTCTCGCTCAACACGTGTGGCCCTCGCCCGAGCGCAAGCGCACGCTCGTCTCGAGAGTTGGCAAGAGCTTCGCGGATGGAGGGCGGGCCGCTTGCAGCACGTGGCTCTCGCCTCGGCGTCAAAGCGCACTCGTCGCAGCAGTTTGCCACGAGCTTCGCGGACGGAGGCCAGCTCTTGCTCGGCATGTGGCTCCAGCCTGAGCGCAGCGCCACTATTGTGCCAACGAAGTTGGCAAACCCTTTCACGGATGGAGGGCGGGTGGTTTCCCAAATGTGGCTCTCGCCCTAGCGCCGCGCACATTCGTCCTACGTAACAATTCGCAATGAGCTTCACGGGTGGAGGGGGCGGGTCGTTTTCAAAAGGTGGCTCTCACATTAGCGCCGCGCCCAAACAAGTTGGCAAAGAGCTTCACGGATAGAGGGCGGGCCGTTTCCAAATGTGGCTCTCGCCTGAACGCCGCGCACATTTGTCTCAGAAGAGTTGGCAAAGAGTTACACGGATAGAGGGCGGTTGGTTTCCAAAATGTGGCTCTCGCCTGAGCGCCACGCGCATTCGTGCTCAAATTGTGGAAATGCTTCACCAATGGAAGGCGGCTCTTGTTCTCACATGAGCGCCGTGCGCATTCGTCCTTAACATGTGCAAGGGTGTCACGGGTTCTAGCGGTTGACGTCCTGGGAGCTGTGCTCCGACACGGAATGGGGCTGTCAGGGCGCACGAGGCATGTTGACTCTGTGTGTTCCGAGGAATGGTGTTCTGGCACGACGCAGGATGTTCAAGGCGCCACAGTAACGTTCATTCGGGGCACGGAAGTCGAACGAGTTGTGTGTTTGGCACGACAGAGGATTCTCAGACAATTGTCTGCAAACACGGCATTTCCAGCAGTGAAAACAACTTCTTGTAGGGGCCAATTACGAGGAACCCTTGTAGGGAGGGTGAATAACATCGTGGATGCGTCTTGGGTTTGGACTGGTCCTCCTCCTCCTCCTCCTCATCCTAATCATCATCATCATCATCATCATCATCATCATCATCATCATCATCATCATCATCACCACCACCCCAACATCATCATCGTCATCACCACAACCGCCGTCATCATCATCACCATCACCATCACCATCACAATCATCACACTCATAATCATCTGCATGATCATCAGCATCATCATCAGCATTAAAGTCAGCATCAGCATCATCACCATCACCATCATCATCATCGGCATCATCATCATCATCATCATCATCATCATCATCATCACCATCGTCATCAACATCATCATCATCATCGTCGTCATCATCATCATCATCATCATCATCATCATCATCATCATCATCGTGATGCTCCCCCAGGCCAGGACACGATTTTGTGTCGCGGGCCAGGCGGGTCCAGCAGGACAGGGCGACACTCGGGCAGGGCTCGGCAGCAGAGAGGAGGAGAAGGACGAACAGCAACAGAACAACACCACAAGACACACCCCACACAAACACACAACAACAACGAACGAGAGAGAAGAAAAGAAACAGGGAGGAAGCGGGCGGGTACCAAAAAGGCTTGAACCGAGGCAGTTTCGGCGACACTGCACGGCCTTCAACCGCTCTACGATTACTGTTCTAGAATTGCCCATCGTGACGCTCCCCCAGGCCAGGACACGATTTTGTGTGTCGCGGGCCAGGCGGGTCCAGCAGGACAGGGCGACACTCGGGCAGAGCTCGGCAGTAGAGAGGAGGAGAAGGACGACCAGCAACAGAACAACACCACAAGACACACACCACACAAACACACAACAACAAACGAGAGAGAAGAAGAGAAACCCCCAAACACCCCAAATGGGTTTCTGGCATTCGCCGCTAATTTAATGCATAAGCTGCCGGAGACGGCAGAGTTGAAGATTGCTTATATACTGCTCGAAAGCTCGGGCAAACAACTTACAAAACCGAACAGGGAAAGGCTCGGCAACTCGCGTCCACAGTTTGCCCGAGCTTCTGTCAATTCCGGAGAGCACGATGTGTCGTTTCTCTGTAAGACAGCACACACCCGAACGCCCCCGGCAGAGACTCGGGAGCTTGATACTAAAACCTGATCCCCAGACCTGAACCCGAGT